GTCTGTCTCCTGTAAATCTGTGAATCATTTTTCTGTCCCCCTCTAGCCTTTTTGTCACTTTAATGTTTCTTCTCCTCTCTATGAAGCCCGAGGTCAGCTAAAGGGCTAATGATAACTATCAAAATGACTGCCAAAGACTGACCCCATCCGGTTTTCTCTCAAACTTCTATTGCCCAACTTCTACAATCACAAAAGTGTTAACCTAAGAAACAATTTTCATTGCTTCTTATTCTTTTCATCTTTGAATTTAGGTCAAAATAAGTCAATTAGACTAAAGGCATATTACGAACCGATTACTCACCTGGATAGAGAATTCGACTAATCATTCCTGGTATTACAATTATAAAGAGAGGGAAGAGTTTGATGAATCCTGCCATCAGTGTAGCACCTTGAGCATGGGAGAGGCTTTTTGCGGCCAATACGCGTTGAACCATCATCTACGCACACAAAATATAATCAACTGAAAACTTACTATTGCCATCTAATGTGGAGGAGTAACCGTAATTCCAATAAATAAACAGTGATACAATATTATGAGTAAAATCAAGAGGTCAAAGTCTTAATTAGGTATTTTTTATTCGGATAGTGCAAAATTTGCTTAATGGGTTGAGTGCACTAGTTTGAAGGTTGAGAAAATATTGATTTTACAAGATAGGCACGATATCCGAATACAGTAGAACTGAAATTATATCCACTCAATGAGCAGCTTTCTAAGGAGATACCCAAGTGCTGTCAATAGCTTAGAATGCATTCATATCTCTTTTACGGAAAAGAAGTGAATGCAGATTACTTTTATGTTTAGCGATTGTGAAAAGAAAACTACGATGTAACCCAATGACCTGAAACAAAAATTGCTCCTTCTGACAGCTAGAAAATTTTCCAGAATTTTATAAATATTCAATCACTGATTCCAGACAGGCACATATCTGGGTGAAAATTTAATATTTAATAAGGACAAATATCCGCCACCCATGTACCTGCTTTATAATTCATGTGAGCACGTACCATTATGCAATAGGAAAAAAAATAGTAAGACCACACTTATACTCATTTTTTGCGATGACAGTAACGATTCAACATGATTAAAATAATCTGAGCATGTCGAACTTCCATTTTACTTTCGAGTGAAGAAATCGACTTTTAAATAAAAATTACTTAAAAATTTAGCAGAATTTTGAGTCTAACTATTCGAATGGACTGATAATACAAGATATTTACGGAAATATGTGTTCAGTTCAAATTTAAATGAAGAAAAGCCCATATGTTGCCAAAATACAGTCACTAATTTTAATAAATATGACCCTTAAAATTCGATTTTTATTATAGAACCACTACAGGGCATAATACTAAAAATAAATTGCGCCTGATTAAGTAATCTGTATGAACGTTTGTAAAGAAATAGATCAAAAATTTGTCGCGATATCTGTTAAAAAACTAATCGAGTAATTGATTTTACCTGCTTCGTATTGTTTATCAACAAGTACTTATCACAAGTAGAATAATAGTTGCTTCACTGCTTCCCATAACACTGCCAGATGGATGGTAGTCACACTCGCCAAATTGGCATTAATTGGTACATCAAACAATTCCGTTTCAAGGATTTGAAAAAGGCAACTTCAAGTGGGTGCTAAATAGAAGTCCAGTGTGAAAAAAAATAAAATTATTTTTATGATGAATATAACTAAGAACTCAATTATTCTTATATTTAAAAAAATCAATCAAAACTGAATGATGTGTGTAAAATAGAAACTATACATGCTGGCCTTTCTTTTTATTAACCCCTTGCTTAGGGAATTGAGACAAGAGGACTTTGACGAATTGATTACCTTAAACTCGAGGGTGGTCTACAAATTAGTAAACTTCAGAGCGTTGCAAGAATTATATGGAAAGAGATGCCTCTAAAAAGTCATCTAGGTTCACATTTGAAGAGTGACAGAAAAAAGATAAGTTAGATACAATTGTAACATGATGGAGGTATTGAAATGATAATACCAAAACATAGATAGAGTTGAGAGGTCATTATCTCCAAACACACTTTTACTCCTTAAATACTTACTCAAAAGATGAAAATGCCAAACCCAAATATTTGAATGCTTATTTTAAACATATTTAGCAATGCCTTCATTTCAGGCTTTTGGAAATAGATAACTAAAGTGCAATCCAAGATTACAAACTTTGAAAATATTTCGCCTGACCTGATCAGCACACCAGTACCAAATGGATGCGGGTGTTTGGCCTAGAATGTAGCCGAGCCAAGGCATTTCAGGATCGGAAATGCCTCGAAGCATCACGAAGGCATTACTTGAAGGCAAAGCACAAGTTAGATTAGTGGAAATGTTGGGTGAGGCAGCCACAGAGTCTACGGAAGGATTGATATCGGCCAAGGAAATTGACGATGCTACACTTTCAATATTCAAAATCAGAGACTCCCCCTCTGGCGAACTTAAATTGATTGCCGAGACTGCAGAACCGTAATGAGCCAATAAACCCGGAAATCCCCCGATTTTACTAAAACCTGTTGGAGATTAAAATACTAATAAAGCGGGAATTCGTTTGATTAATATTTAAAATGAAAATGAGCAAATGTACCCATTCCGGTAAGTAAAATAGCTCCAAAAATCATCACAATAGTTTGAACTAGATCAGTGTAAAGAACCGCCGCAAGACCTCCTAATGACAAGAAATATACATTTATATAAAGTAATATTTATCATGACAGAAGAAGAACAAACATAACCTGTGATTGTGATTAGAGCGGTCATAACGAGAATAAAAAGAATCGAGAACCAAACATTCCATCCAAGGGCTTCATTTATGAAAAGTGAACCAGAGTATAAATTAACCTAAGGGAGAAATAGTTATGAAAAATTTATAATTATTAATGAAAGAATTGAAAACTAAGCAAGCACAAAATTACAGAAATCTTGGTGAAAATATATAGAATAAGTGATAGCACAGTTAGGTATATCCTGATTCTAGAACCGCCAAAGCGTTTTTTCATATAATCAGGTAGAGTATAAACGCCACTAGATATGTAAACTGGTAGGAAAACCCATCCCAACAATTGCAACAAAATAGCAGCCTAAAATAAAACAAATTTAATTGCTTTATATAAACTGAAGATTGGCGTCATAAAATAAATTAAAAAAATTTACATTGAATTCGAAAGCCCCAACAGCAATGCCTTTAGCAGCTCCAGATCCGGCCAGACCAATAAAATGCTCACTGCCAATATTACTGGCAAATAAAGATGCTCCAACCTATTATAATAAATAAAATAAGAAAATTACGTACAGGAAGCCATGTCATAAATCTTCCTGCTAGAAAATAACCTTGGACCGAATTGACACGTGCACGACACATAGCCTGATGAAAAATGATATTAAAAATAATAAGCATACAAACAATCCCGCTCCGAGAATAATGGCAAAATATATTACCAAAACGGCAATATCTGCACCTTTTAAATAAATTGTCTCCATCGTTCCTTGACAAGCGTACTGGGACTAAAGGTTTGATTAAGTAGATGCTGCTCGATTGCCTTTAAGGATATAACTGGTGTAAACAAACTTCTTTGTTTAATAAATATATTTTTTTTCACATTATTGTAAAAAGTTTAAAAATAACTATTTCTATTCGAATGTCTTATGTTTTTACATATACCTTTACCAAATAAATTTTATTTTTGTCTAAATTACTTTGGCCAACTAATATTTTGCCAAGTATATCGTAGTAGCTGTATAAAACAGTGAGCTATTTTTAAAAAAATCTTTGAAATATCTTAGTTATTTAATGAGACCCCGAATTCGCTTATCACGGACACGTTTTAGATTAAAACATTTATTTATCTATTTCAAATGAGAGGCGTTTTGATAGTTACCATTGGCCCTTCAGCTGACTCCGAGCTTCACAGAAGGTAAGAGGAACATCAAAGTAACAAAAGTTGAGAGGGGGGACAGAATAACGATTCAGAGATATAAAAGAGACAGACAGACACAAAGGCAGAGAAAAGGTAAGATGAGCACTGTGAAGTGGTGGAATACGACGTACAGTGGGGTTATGGTAGTTTGAAGTGAGAAGTCAACTGCCGAATAATAAACTTTTTGCTGTATAAGTATACATTCCCCAAGGTGAACCACGTGGAAGTAAGTCTATCGCACACCCCTAGATCTAAACTTAAAAGCGGTGAGTTCTAATAATTTATTTTTTGTTTCAAATGGCAGGCTCTATGATATTTATCATCAGCCATTAAACTTTGACTTCAGCTTCTCCCAAGGGTGAGGGGTA